TTATGAAAATGATATGTTGTTTGTTTGTTTTTTTATCAAACGCCTTACAGTATGTACCAATGACGAAATGAGCAACTGACATGAAATTCCTTTTGAACCAGGCAGTACACATGTTTATTTCTGCTATAAAAATGTGTGACTTCATCATGGACCTAATGGGGATTCCTTAGTTTTTCTCAGCCAAGTGGACACTCAAGAACTGGCTTAATTTTTCAACACGAAGAGGTAGGGACATGACAAAAACCTCATATATATTTCTACATAAATATGTCTTTCTATCACACACAAGACAGTAAGCCACGCCCTCTGAGTTGATCAAGCCCTCTCTAGTCAAATCTTGTGTTTTCACTACACACACTGCGGTCCATCTCTGGTGCTAGTTACCTAGTAAACACAATAATGTCCAGTTACTAGAAACATCCACCACACAGTTAGTAGACCTCAGGGGCTTCCTGCAGGAAAGCATTATCACCTCCAAGGGGAGGGACCCCCAATAGAGCGCTACAATCACTGTGCACTGCTTCTGTTTACATACTGTTCATACGTGAATGCTGCATATAGAAACCTAAAAAAGAAAATCAGGAAACGGCGGCAACATGTGGCTCTGATCAGAAGGGGGGGCGATAGTTTTCCTTTTAAGCTCTAGGATACCGGTTTAATCTGTGTCAGAGTCCTGAACTGTGAAAGCTGTGCCCCAAGAATGATGTTTACCATGTGCCACATTTAAACCAAAACTGCGACATTCAGGACTTTGCTGTTGTGTTTTTTTTATGTATCCTCAGTTAAGTTTATTGTGCAAAATGTTAAGGTTAAGCCCCAAGGAAAGAGGTGAGGGGCCACTCAAGTACTCTCTCTTGAACACCACTTCAACGTGACATTCAACTGCTGGGTCCAAATTCAGGGGTAGCACTCTTGGAAGGGACCAGCCTTCATATCCTGCGTAGAAAACTCTTACTTACTAAGTGCAACTCCTGTCGCCTAGCAACTTCAACACCTGCATTGTACCTAGCTAACAAACCAACATCCTTTAACCTAACCTACTATTTAAAAGTTTCAATGCCCCCTTTGATTGTAACATTTGAATTGCTTTTCAACTGAGTTGAAACAAGTTAATAACTTTTAAAAGTGTAATCGTCAGCTGCCATCCTGTTTGAATTGGCTTGCATTTAATCATGGGATATGTTGGGACATAAACGATGTATGCATTCTTTACAAACTGGGAAAAGTGGAACATATTTGCTGGTCACATTTTAAGGAGCCTTTGAAACAGGAAAGCCTTTGATGTGACGCTGGAACTTAATCAGTCTTCAAATGCACCATTCGAAGGATGCAGGCCTTGAATTTGGATGCAAAGTCTACAGACACGAGGCCAAAAACATGGCTTCAATCACTGATATCCAGCAAGGCAATCTGGCACAATGATTATTTCCTAAAAGTTTCCCTCTTCTTTTACTGTTCGCACATTTAACCTTTCCCTGGCAGGGCAGGGGGACCTTAACGATGAGGATGAAGAGCCTCTGAACCTGCTTTAGTGTCTACAAAAGAAATAAAAACAACCATGAACAGCTGCTTCATCTTCTTCACCGTCTTCTTGGCTTCTTTCCACCCAGACTTTGGGCCTAACTCTACGTGGGAAGTGGCTCAGCTTCTATCTGAGCCTGGAGGACCCAGGACTACTGATTGATGATGTGTGCTCCCTCTCTTCATCTCTCCATCTGAGAACTGATGTGTTTGCAAGGCCGCATCACCGTGTTCCTCACAGGCTGGCTGTCGTCAGCTGGCTGAAGAGCAGACTGTGAACCTGCTGACAAATTACCGTCATTTATCAAGAAGAGCGGCGCGTTCTGAGAAAAGTGGTTCTCATCCATTTCCATTAAAATTTTATGAAAGACGCTTTGGGCCAAGGCAGAGTGGGATTAAGTTGGGTGAGAACATATGATACTCTGGATGTCCTCTGTGGACATTTATCAATCTTAATTGACTTTGACTCCAGATTCTTTGGAGGAGGAACAATTAAAATAAGACGACAAAAGTATAACACCACCAAGTCAATGCATTACGCTATTGCAGCTTCTAAAACATATGTAAAAAAAAAAAGAAAGTATGAACACATGCAACCAAGTCATTGAGCCAACAACCAAAGCAGAGACTTCAGCACAAAGCTTGCCACCTGAGTGCTTCCAAAGCTTAATACACTTTCTTTTCTTTTCTTTTTTTTAAGCAGAGCTAAGCGGGTCAGAAACAGAGTGGGGGGTTGGAGGATAATCCCCGTTGGAGTGTACGGTATCTGATGAATCATTCTGCAGTACATAATCATAAACTATGTTCATATGAGTCCACTGAGCCAAGGAAAAACTCAGGGGTGACGCGGGTGAGGAGTGTGTGGGAAGAACGGGGATCAATGAAACTGTGTTAAAATCTCCAGAGTCCCACTGGCTGTGGATAGAAGATGAGGATGTGGAAGAAAGGCTTCTAAAATAGAGGAAGCAAACGCAGTGGTCATAAAAGTTATGATGCAAAGTGGGCTTTTTTCCCCTGGAAGCTGGTGAGGAGGACATGGAATCCCCTCGTATTAACGTAAACTGTGACCACATGTAGATGAGGGAGCGCTGTTAAAGTTAAGACTGCTTTGGACCACGTTTTATTGACACACTGAAGCCCTGTGACGCATTTTTGTCCCCCTTTTTGAATCTCACAGTCAGAAAAAGTAAGTGGAAACCTCCGTAATAACAGGAGTCGTGTCTTCTTTTGGAAGTGTCTAACTTGGACCTTCCAAATGTGCATGCATTTAGTTCAAACCGGCTGCAATTAGGTTGTTATGGGATCAGGCAAAGGGTTTAAAGTGGGTTTCCCTCGAGGGAAGCCCTGATGATGCTTAGAGTAGTGTTTACATTCTACCACATTTAAATATAAATGTAAAACAGCAAGCCTGTGTTTGTAAACAGATGCCAGATCTGCCATGTGTTGTCTTGAGCTTTTAATTACTGTACCAGGGTACCCATCTGACTAACGACTGACTCAGCTAATCTCTGTCTCCGTCTTGTGGTATCAAACTGTATTGCAACCCTTTTTTAAGGCAACGTCACACTGCAAAATATCTAACCAAGTGTAGTCTTATAATGTCTGGTCAACAATATCTCATTATCAGCCACATTCACCTGACAAGCCCAGATACAAAAAAAAATAAAACCTGAACTGCTTTTACTGAGTAATAATAGGTGGTTCAACAAGCAAAATGTACTGAAGATGATAAGATGTAAACTTTTATTTCAAGAAACATATCAAGCATTCTGTGCTGTCTGCACTGGCGGCCATTTTTCCTCACACTTTCACTATTCAGGCTTTATTAGCTGCTACTTTAATATCTTAAAATAATGTTTTTTATCTTGGCTCGGGTTAATGTGGCTTATTCATAAGAGCAGTCGAACGTCACTTCCGGCTCGCCAGAGTGACCACGTCCCCGTTTGGGTGAAAACAAGCACTGAGAATGTATCGGCGGTGGATTAGAAAACACTGGTAACATTGCGGTTAAACGCGATTGCGAAGCTTTTTGAACTTCAAACTATTTTAAAAACACAATTTAGTATCGGGTTTTCATTTACAAAGGACAAAGGAGGGTAAAAGAAGAGCTCTGTGTATTTGGACTGGAGCTAGAGAGGATTAAAGGTCCCATATTATGCTTTTTATGGTTTTATATGCTCTTTCGTGTGTTTTCCAAGTGTCCTGTGCATGTTTAGGCACATTATGAGCAACAATTCAAAGTCCGCGGAAATGCGGCTTCTCCTACGTCCTCCTGTTAGCTGTAGCATTAGCTGCATGTAACGCTCGGTTCTAGCCCCCCTCGATAAAAATGTGTCAGTGCGACGTCATTGTCAGTGTGAGATCACTGATCTAAGTCATTGGCTCGTTGTGGCAAGCCCTGCAGCTCATGTTGAAATTTCCGAGAAGCGTGCTGAGCAACTGACCAATAACGACAGAGCGGATCGGCAGACCAATCAGAGCAGACTTGGCCCACGTGGGGCTCTGCAGTGTGGGCTCAACAGAGCAAGGAGGAGCAGTACATGAAAACAGACACTTTTTTCAAACTTTAGTTATTGTGAACGTACAAAAGTAGGAACATAGATTAAATATACAAACCCCAAAAAGGACATAATATGGGCTCTTTAATGTGGTAAATTGTGGGACCGCTGTCATGTTCCTGCTCTGTGACAGAAGAGAAGTCTGTAAACAGATTCTTCACACATTCATTCACTAACGTATTAACAACGTTTCAAATGTCACATCACATAATCATGTTGGTGAAAATGTCTCTAAACGAAGGAACACGACACCAAATCCTCTGACTGAAAAATAAATGTCAAAATAAAAAGTTTGCCAGCTCGATATAACACCTCGTCTCGCCCCAATCATCATTATTTACACTCACGTATGAATACAAAAGGTTTTAATATCATTCAGGTGGCTTTACATGTTATTCTTTTCTAAATCAGCTGATAACTCAGAGTTTATGTCCCCTTTTCTCTAAAATAAACGTCTATAACCACTCCATTGCAGCTATGAACACTGTTAGAAACTATTACAAATAAATATTATTTAAAAATAAAGATCCCTCTCTGGTAACATGGTTAATAATTACTCATCAGGTCAGTATGACTCCTCTGATGACTCGTTTGAGCAGTTTGACAGACAGAGATTGAACAGACACTCACCTACATGGTATGATGCCGATCTCTGTTCAGAAATGTCATATTTTAAATGTTTACATTACTGGTCATCAGATTTAGGCTCATACTTGCCGTTTTAAAGTATGGTTTTCATTTTTTAAGACTTTAAATCGGTGAAGACCCCAACTTGTCCATTAACCACCATTCATTCACAGGGAATGATTTCATCCAGAAAGGGGCGGGGCCGGCATCGTTTGGGCAAAGTACCCGGATGGGTTGCTCTCATGAATTAGCGGTCTTTGCCAGGTGACGTATTGCCTTCCCTAACCGCAATGCATTGTGGTTACAAGCGCCATGTTAGCGGATATAGCTCTTTGTTTACATGCCGAGTTGATCAGAAGTCACGTCTGCACACACGTCTTGCTTTGCTTCCCTTTTTTTTGTGTTGGTAAAATGGTTCGCTCATGCTGCGTGAATAATTGCCATAGTAAGTCCCACGACTTGAATTGTAAAAAACTCAACAACCAGTTACGGTTTTTTAGGTTTCCCTTATGGAAAAAGCGCTTTGGGACACAAGCAGAGGATATATCCAAGAGGAGGCGGATGGCCTGGGTTAAAGCGGTGAACCGGAAATCCATCACCTTCGCCAGTGTATCTAAGTACATGCTTGTTTGCTCTCGACACTTTCATAAGGGTAAGTGAAATCTCTTTTGTTGTGTTTATTATGATGTTAAATTATCATCATATACGATATCGTATGAGCGAATGCTAAGGCTAAGTCATGTTTTGTTTAGCCAGGCTGGTCGACAGCAGATTTCAGAAACGACTTGATCCGGTCTAAGATCTTAATAACAAGGAATCGTCATGTGCTGTATTTCTAAAAAAAAAAAAAAAACTGTGTGTCATTACAGGCGAACCTGCTTATGAAATGAGGGAGACTGATCCAGACTGGGCACCATCTCTACATATGGGCCACACAGACAGTACGCAGAGATACGGCCGGCAAACAGCTGATATGGATGTCAATCAGGCTGAAGAAAACCATCAGTATCCCAATGAGGGGGAAGCAAATGAAGCTGGAAGAAGGGATCCACTACAGACTGAGAACTTGGCTCAGGCGTCCACAGAAAGTGTCCAAGAGGGCACCGAAGATGGCGACCCTGGAGAAAGTGGCCAGGAAAACACTGAGGAAGGAACCCACAACACCAGCCGGGAGGTGGCAGATTTTCAATGTAATCTGAACCTGAATGTACGACCAGAAAATATACGAATTGTAAAATTTGAGTTTTATTAATCACAACGCTCGGGGTGAATTTTAAGATGCATTCTTCGAGACGGACTGTTTAAATCATAACTTTCACAAAAAGATTAATTTGTGTTTACAGGCTTTGTGAGTTCATGAAAGCCAGCGAAGCTTTGCTGATACTGGTTCAAAATGTTGGCTCTCCTATGGCACCACCTGCTGGAGTGAAAATGCCCAAGACAAACATGCTACACAAAAGACATCAGGCAATCTAATGATCTATTTGATCAACGATGCAAATAAGAGAAGAATAGATCTATTAGGAGACACACTGGTTGTAGGTTGAAATAAGACAAAAAGGCTTTTTGTATGTGGTTAAAAACTTTTGCACAAGACAGAAAAAGCTTCATAGAAAGTTCAGATGAGAGGAAATCTGAGTCCTATTAATTTAAATACTACAATGAAGTGTTGTAGTACTCGAACCGGTCTCAAGACCACTTTTTGAAGGTCTTGTTCTTGTCTCTGAATCGAAAGCATTTTAACTCGGCCTTGTCCCGGTCTCAGACTGGGCAGACTCTGGATTTGAAATCAAGACCACCACTGAAAGGCTTTTTTTTTCCAAGTCATTGCTGTGATTAGAAGAAAAATGCCAGTTTCACTGACATTTATGGTCTTGTCTCAGTCCTGTCTTTGTCTTGGTTCGGTCTTGATCCATAAATGTCCTGGTCTTGTCTCGGTCTCGCCCTGCCTTGGTCTTGGTCTTGACTCTCTCTAAATGTCTTGGTCTTATCTCGGTCTCTGAGCACCCTGGTCTCGGTTATGTGGTCTTGACACACTATCAGATGTTAAAGATTCTTACCTGAGCAAAGAGAAAACACTGTAGGAGTTCCTGACTGAACTCTGGTCGACCTGGAGCAGACTGTTTTTCTTCCGCTCCGACTGATCCTGAAACAGCCACATGTCAGTGTTGAATATGAGGCTAATGAGATTAACAATGGATAGCTCATAATGATGCAGATGCTCTGAAAGATTGACCACAGGCCGTACCTTATGATCAAAGTCAGCTGCATAGTAGCCATCATTCAAACCAAAGATGATCTCATTTGGGTTTCTGGATCGAATCTGTGGACAAAGCGAGGCAGCAGAGAATCATTGCAGAGAACAAAGGACAGCGGGAATCTGGATGTGCATGAGACGCTGCTATCTGTTTATGAGCTTTGAAAATGGTCTCACTGTGAAGGAATGGCAATAACCCTGACTTCTTCTACAGCATTCACATTTTCATGGACTTGTTTCTCAGAACAGAGCTTCAATGTGCAGAATTTAGGCTTAAAGGAGATAATTAATCCTTTAAACACTCACATGCAGAAAGAATTAAAAGTCAAAATCACATGTTCATTCTTCACACTGCAGACTGTTAGGATGGTTTTAATGTTTGTAACTGATGGTTCACATCTCTGAATCAGTGCAATGTGTGTGCTCTCATTATAACATCATCAACCTGGTATGCTGCATCGCTACGTGATTGCTTATAACTGCCATTTATTTCAAATGTGAGGAAATAGACTAGAAAAATAAACCTTGTAATGAATTGAGTGTCTGTTTCTGTTGACCAGAATATCAGTTTGCTGGACTGTAATTCAAAGTTTCTTTAATCATTGATAAAAGTGTTTTTTCACAAGTAGATGAAAGTCTAAAATGATAACAAAAGACGTTCTCATTATTAAGTCTTTAAACTGATTAAACAAAAAGTAATAAATCCAGAGACACAGCCTTTCTTTCTTAATCTGAAGAAAGGCTGTGAATCTTTACGCTTAAGAAGGAACCAATAAATGTTGTTGAGAAAATGAACAACCAACTTTGTGAATGATAGGTTCATTGTTTGCATCAAATGTCAACCACAAATATCAATCCAATATATTTATAAATCCCTGCTGGTGTAATATTTTTAATGATTGAATTTTCCAAGCGGATAAAGTTACTCAAACTTTTTGTTGATGCAAAACACAATAATGGAATTAAAAAGATGAATGAAAGATGCAATCATCATGCTCCCTCGTTAGGTTCCAAGATCAGCTGCAGCGTTAAGTCAGACATTTGAATAAATGCTTTCAAAGTAAAAGCATGAAAATGATTTTTGATGAGAATTAGGCACATTGATGATCTCGACTGAACCCTCGTGGTCATTCAGTGGGCATTTTTTCAGCATGGATGCTAACTTCAGGGTTTTGTGCAGTATGGTTTGGATGCATCTTTTCAGGTAAATAGTTGTATTTTAACACCCACAATGCTGTGCGAAATTAAATGTAAGACGTCACTTCACGTGCAACTCCAAGTCAAAACAAATTAGGACGGATGCGGCCGGTTTCAGGTAACACGCATTTCAAATGGTAAGTTGTTGAATTGTTTTCATGCAATGTGAAGTTTTGTTTTATTTACTGAGCCATTGTGCAGATCACATCTGAGTTGGAGTGTCAATAACATGAGGCGGGCTAATGATGCCACTTCCACACAGAATGAATCAGACGAAGGAGGAACAAATATCTTCCCACTGAACAGTAGGTCCTAACAGGATACAGCACGGAGAGAAGGGACCATCTACTGTCAGGTTGTGGAGGCACTTTGGAAGCACCAAGCCTTTAAGTTTTTAAGTAAACTTAAAGGAAGTGCCTTTAAGTGCAGTACTTATCAAGGCCAGTAGGGGGAGACTCCAGTGGTTGAAAGAGAAGTTGGTCAACTACATCCTTCTCTGTTTATTTATTACCTAGGTAATCATTTTTCCTGTGACTTTATTTTCTCAATCAATAGTTTAAAGTCTCTTTCAATATATAACGATGTTCAGTTTCTAAATGATGGTCCCATTTAGAGTAAACAAATGGTAAAACATTGATGTCAAAGGCTGTGAATACCTGGGAATGATGCCAGACAGATCCCACAAACAAAAAGGGAACATCAAGGGGGCTATGTTCATTCTTCTTCAATAAAGACTTTGTTTTAAACAGACTCAGTGAATTATTCTCATTTTCATGTGTGGTTGCTGACCTGCTGTCCTGTGTATCTGAGGCCATCCAGATTGACCCTCCATTCTATGAGGAGCTGGTACTGTTCCTCCTGTCCTCCCCAGATCCTCACCACGAAGCAAGACACAGAGGTATCCAGGAGGTCCGGCAGCATGCCGAAGTCCAGACTCCGCCAGGTTGGATTCTGACACACAACACAAATAAGGATTAGCCAGCACTTAGGGGGGATAACCAGTGTAAGAGAACATGAATACCTGACAGTGCAATAAATAAATCATTCCATTTACTCAACGTTAAAAGGAACTGAACCTTCTGTTAACTTACTCATTCATTTAAAATAGGGACAGTGCACATTAGTGAACATAAACATGTTAATAGGCCATACTGCAGTCACAGGCTTATTTCCATCTGTAGTCCTTTGGCAGGTTGGTGGTTCATATGTATAGAAAATTACATATAACCACAATGACAAGTAAAAACCAAAACCACAAACAGTGGCCAAGCAACAACATTCACTGTACTTTAGTTAACATGGACACACTCAATAATACAAGCCTAAAAAGTGTCTGTGTGATGTTGTTTAAAACAAACCAGGATCAAGTGACCTTCCGAGTTAAAGTGCTTAAAGTGCTGCTACGGGAGGTAAAGTGCCGGAGTAGTAAAGTGCAAAAGTGCTGGAGTATTGCAATTTGCTTGATTATGAGGTACTGGTGTAAATGGCACATTTGCCCGAGACGAGCCTGTAACTTTAAAGTACTTAAGTAATTGCACATAGCTATATTGCTCTGACTTGCAGAATGTGTATGTACTAGGGATGTAAAGATGAATCGCGAGACAGTTAAAATCGATTCAAAGGTGTCAAGGTTCACATCGGTACTCTGAGAAAATAAATCGCATGCTTTACTTTTACATTTTTAGACAGCAGAGGACGCTATCTATTTATGCTTCACTGGCGTTAGCAGCTGTAGAGCAGAGAAGGTTAGCAGCTGCAGAGTAAGATTTTGAATTTGAGGACACACCACCGTCTTTTAAATCCGAGGTGTGGAAGCATTTCTTCCCAAAGACAGAAAATGAAAGAGGAGAGAAGATAACAGACGAGACACAAACTTTGTGCAAATATTTAAAGACAGGGAACTACACAAATAGCACGGCCAACATGATGCAGCATTTAATCTACACCACAAGGAGAAGATACAATCACCTCCCCTCGCTGAGAGAAAAAAAACATTAAAAAGGCCAAACCACACTGACAAGCGGGTTTGCAAAAATTAAATGTATCTTTTTCAGTCATCTCAAAATCTCTCAAATAAATGGTGAGAAAATTGTATCGTGAACTCAATATCATGAATCGTATCGTGAGTTGAGTAAATCGTTACATCCCTAGTATGTACATACCGTTGCACAGGGTTAGCATACATAGATGTGTTTAGTTACTCAGTATTGCAAAGGGGTTAGATACACAGTTGTGTGCATGAATAATTAGAAATAGATGGTTAGACATGGTCACAGGTCTGGTTGTTTATGAAAATATAAGTGTGCAGGTGTTTTTTGTGTGCATGCTTTCAAATAAAATATGTCATAAGTGATCTCTTTCCATCAAATATCATTTAATCATCCTGCTCTACATTCACCTTAAGGTTTGATCCCTGCTACAGTTTGTTCTTGGTCTCCAGACTGTCAGCACTGAGAGTGAGGGCTACTTCTACAAAGCCATTTACATCATTCTATTACACACCACTTCCCTGGATCAGAGAGAAAAATCTCTTGCTCTGCAGGTCACACTCAAGGACAGGCAGGGAGGGAATGTCAAAAGCAGAAGTACACTCCAGCAGGGGGTGTAGTAAGAGCCAGTAGCGGAAGCAAAGGCGTAAAACAGAATCAAAACATTTCCCTCGAAAAATGATGACAGGATGGAGAAAGAAACTAGAGAACAAATGTCAGCAAAAGGATTTTCAATTCAACAGGAGAAAGTCAGGTAGAGTAAATGACAGGAGTCATGACTCCTGCAGAGCATTATGGAGTCTGTCTGCCCAGGGTACAGCGTGCAGTGTGCCTGGAAAGCAGCTTAGGTCAGCTCATGACTTGGCAGAGAGCCTGACAGTAATGGCTTGCTATCCTTGGCTGCTTCGGTAGCTTTGTGCTGAGCTGCATAAGCCCCGCTAACAAGAGAAGCAGCAGCCTAAGAGTCACCTAGTCATGTTCTCCAGAGACGTTTACAACACAGAGTGATGCTGACAAAGCAAGAGAGAAAGAATCATTTCTCCTTAAAGCTGATGCAAGTCTGATTTTCATTCAAGGAAGCACTTTTTTACTGTACCCTCAATGTGTGAAAACCAGTTTAAGAAAGGTCATAGTGCAACGGCAATTCCAGATGTGGCCAGATGTGTTAAAGAAAGAAGATATGCAGCAGGTATAAATGCCAGGTTTTGGCATCAATAACATACAGGAAGCTTGTGTTCCTTCAGTACAATGCTGCTCATATTGCCAAGTGTATCAACACACTGCATCAACAGGGTGCAGGTAAACATCCTGAACCTTTCCCTGGAAGCAGGCATGAAGAATTTAAAGGTACAAACAAGTATACTCACCAGAGAGTCCCGTATGACTTCACTCTTGTAAAAATCTAAAAAGACATCAAAGAAGGCTGATTAGAGAAAGCAGAAAACACTTGTGCATAAATAACCAAATGACTTGAATCTACTATTAAATACAATTCATAAAGTAATATGAGCTTGGCTTTATTTCTGAATTTGATAGACAACAGACAAGACTTTTACAGATATTTGATGTATGTACTAGTGTTTATAACTATTGAAATCCAGGACAAGACTGTGTCCTACACAGAATCAGTCTGATTTAAATCAAAGCTTTAAACTTAAACTCTGCACAGGAAATTGAAAAAAAATGTTGGTCTGCATGCTGAAAGATAGTTTGGGCTATAGTCAGGCGTGCTTTTGTAGGTCATAGAGGCATCACACTTATATAGAGACTGTTTTATAACCAGTGAAGAACCCCCCCTAAAAGTAGGTTAAAGTGTCATTGCATAAGTCTGTGTGCAATGATGCAGCTAAAAAAACTAAAGTGCAGATATTTATCTAACACAAGTGCAACTCGACTCATGTTTCACATCTTTGACTTTTTGAGGTGCACACTAGTAGTGATAGTGTTAATAAACTCTTTAAGCTGCCCTGCATGCTCGAAGAACACAACAAAACTTTATTATCTCTGCCACACATTTTCAGAAGCATCTGAACAGAAGATTGAGACACCAGATTGGTCAACAGTTTGATGTCCATGCTGTTACTTCAGAATGTGAACTGTGAAGACATTATCAGCTTGTGGACAGGATTAGGAGTTTGAAAACCCTATGTATAGTGTGCAAAATGATTTCAAAAGCAAATATTTATTTCTCCTGGATTGTTCTGTGAGAGACAATCCGCCTCCATGACTCAACCATTCTACCAACTACTGCCTCCTTCCAATAGTAGGCGCTATGATTTGTTCAGGCCCAGGCTGTCATCAATCATGTAAAATCTGAGTAAGTGTGCGGGCATATCTTCTTCTTCTCTCTGCTGTTTTTGTAACGCCCTGCACCTATCTGTGATGTGCGTTTAACGAGCCCTTTAAATAAGGGACAAAACACAAATGTTTTGGAGCATTAAATTAGACACTTTAATGTTTCTGCTGGACTATTGCGCCACACAGACAAAGTACATGTTGTCCCATTCTGTTGAACTAGTTTCTGTTGTTTCTCTGTCATCTCAGACTGCAGCAGTAAGCATTTTGTCTACAGCAGCACCTTCAGGCTAACAGGAAGCTGCCATCTTTGGAGTAGTTATGTGCTAATCGTCAGGGTGAAGAGTAAAAAGGATACTTAAAGAATTTAAGGTTGATACTGCTCCGTATTTCAATGATCAACCCAACCAAAATAACTTGTAATCTCTTAGCGGATTTTCCACTTCAGCTGAACATGTTTACTTAATGACAGCTTTTATCACTACCTTTGATTTGATATGACGTAACTGCATTAGGCCCTGTGCCCACATAGTGTTTTTTTTCTGAGCACCAGCGTATTTTTTCAATTGTTTTCAATGGGCAGAGAGCGTTTGCAGCAGCAGGCAGCCGCCCGGAGACAGAGTGCAGCGCCCAAGAGCTCTACTTTTTTTTGTGGCAGCTCAGAGCGCTCAAGTTCAAAATCTTTCAACTTCCCAGAAAGGCGCTACTGACGTCACTGGTGCTCTTTTCCAAATGTATGATATTCCCAGTATTTTTGCCGCACTAAGGATCATGTCTTGTACCCATATCTTCGATCCATGGCTACTGGGGTTCAAACGATCTCAAATCAAAAACATACAGTAAAAAGTATCGGAGCAGTGTATCGGTCATAGAGCAGCCATTGTCAACCGACGCTGTCATAAAGACAGGACAGACGTGCAGCACTTTTCTTTTCATGGCACAAACGCTTCATGCAAGCCCTGACTAACACAGTCAGCGCTTTTCTGCCAGAAACAAAACGCAAAGTGGACATGAGGCGTTAGTTTATATAGGATGGAAAGTGATCCTTTTTTGAAAGCATGATGCAGATTGTGTATTACACAAGTGAACATGTACTTAGCACTGTCAGGCTGGAGAATGTGTGTGTGAGGGGCTTAAACACTGACCTCTAGATATTCTGTCTCCTATACAGAGGTGGAGGGTGAAGTATGTGTCCAGCAGTGGAGAACCATTCTTGTTGACAATGTTTCTGGCTGCGATGCTCCGGAGATGACGCAACCGTCTCTGTTTGTCGGAGAGAAATACAGAAGGGGACAGAGAGAGTGAGCAGAGAGTGAGGAGAGAGTGAGAACAAATAAAAAACTGACATCAGAGCTGTAGTATTCAGTTTCATCCTCATCATGTGATGGCTGCAGGCAATTACAAATAATCTAGGTTATAATGAAGAATGTGAATCCTAACTGGTTCCCAGGATATGTGAAAAAAGACGACTACGGAGATTGATGAAGTAGCACATTGTCAATCTGATGTATAAATAGCCTACAATAGCCCGGGGGGGTTTCTCATGCAGTGAAGCAAAACCAGCTGAGAGTCTGCTCAAAGTCAGCAGCTCAAATAATAGAGGCATGACATCTTCAGGGTAGAAATAAGTACGTAGTTAACTCGCCAGGCATGGTCAGTCATGACAGTCACATGAGAAATTTGAAGCTTTAAAATGATTTTCTACACCGTCTACAAGTCTCAATGAGCCCACTATAGAAAAGCCCCCATTATCACCATGTGCATTTGTAGCCAGAACAAAAGTCTGAACTAAGGAGTGTGAGAAAATATATAAATACTTGATTGGCACTGAAGTTTTGATTATGTGTCAAATCTTAAAACTGTAAACAGTTGTACTTAAAGTTAACATGCATTAAAATAAGCACACATTTCTGAATGTACTGAAAGTGATGCTTTGCGAAAACATTTTCCAAAAAAAATAATACTTGATGATATTGACTGCTGTACCTCAACTTGTTTATTGGTCAAAATCTACTGCAATAGAATCCGATATTGTATTTGGTATTTGGCAGATAAACATGTAGCATTTGGATACTACTGCCATAAAACAAATACGATTATTTTTACAGCTGTAGGGAACTCTGGAGGCTCATCGGCAGCAGCCACCATGCTGGAAATCCTGTCACAACCTAACTTTTAGTCAACCTAACGACAGGCTGAGAGCTGGAGCTGAGGCGGGTTTTAAACCTCCTTACAAACCGTTACATGCCTACACCGTGCCCGCCTGTCAATCAGGTCAGCCTCATGCCTAACTATGTCTAACACGTATGGTTAATAAAATCAAAATGGATGCGTTATTAAAAAAAAAGTCACCCCCGTACAGTGAGTGCCCATGAGGAAGACAAATATTGTTGTTTTGTTTTTGTACAAGGCTGTAAACATGTTATTGTCTGCTGTAAAAACAGGCGTTTTTGAATGTGGTGTTCATGTGACTCCTGGGGCTCTTGGAGTCTGCCTCAAGTGGACACTGGAAGAACTGCAGTTCTTTGCACTTTCGCATTGGCTTCATTTTTCATCACCGGAGGTTAAAAGCAATGCCTGTTAAAAGTGAAGCTTTGCATCTGTTCACATTGCTTTTTTTTTTACTAATTGGATTCTTCAAGTGTAAATTATTGAAGATTTTTTCACAGTATGTTATTATGACATTGAGTGGGTTATATTCTGTAGAAGCACCATATTGTTATTGCTACCAAGTCCTACAATACCTGAAAAAAAAACTGTAAGCCATTAAAAAACAGCATTAGAGTGTGGCAGCCAATATAGATGCATGGTGGATGAAAGGTACAACTTGATGTTTTGGAACGATGATGAAGAATTGATTTCTGGTGGCGGGAAAGGGTCAATTTTTAAATAACAAATGATTTCATCTTGACTGACGTACTCGCTGACACAGATCTCCCATATAAGGCAACATTGCAAGTATTCCTAATATTAGTATTGGTATTGAAACAATTCTTACAATGACATTAGTTGTTACTGGGATTGTAATAAAATATTTCACTTCCAATTCCTTAAAATTCTAACTTTTTTACTGGAAATTTCATGCATTTGATGGTGTGTTCTACATACTATGACGTTAGTTTTAGTATCCTAACTAATTATGATGTATTCGATTTTACTTTTACTTTTCATATCCTTGGTTTCTTGTCAATACATACTACAAAGGCCTTGTCACCTCATTAGTTCAACTCAAGCAAAGTCTTAAAGGAAATAAATACAGGTTTCATTGGTGAATCTCAAAGACCTAGAAGTCGACTTAACGTTTATATCCTCATGTCTTGCATATAAATGTAATGACCTGCTTTGGGAAACAAAAGTGTGTGTTTGGAGTGGACACACAAGAGGCACAGAGAGGTTTCTGCTTCAGTCACACAAGTCACAACACAACGTTTCTCTTGACCAGCAGGCCTGGCCTCCGTCCTGCTGCTATACTGCGACTAAATCTAAGTCATGGGATCCCCTATAAGATTAAGGACTCAAACAAAAACACTGATTGTTCGGTAGGAGACTTCTAACCGCCCTCCCTTAAACATGCCCTTTCTGTATGGGGCTAACGTGGACCACAGGCGGAGAGAAACAGGTTTAAGAACACTTGTGAAGAAAAAAGCTGCCGTGGTGGGTCGGGTACTCTGATGTAAAACTAGGGCAACATCAGAAGCCTTATTATAGACCACAATGTCAGCCAAACATCAAAGCTAGCACCTCTAGTAGCTGACCACTGTCATAATGTGATCAAACAGCTCTAATAATAGTATGTGACAAAGTTATTAGCTGCTCACAAGCCTTTTTCTCTCTATATCCAGACATCACGATTCCTCAGAAACGTTAAACCGTCAAACTGAGCTTTAAATCATCTTTATATCATCATGTAGGTTTTAATATTCTTTGTTGTAACTTGTTCTTGATTAGACCTCATGGTCTTCAGTCTGCAGACTGTTGTTTTGGATCTGTTGGTCAATTACGCCCCGGGGCCAACTTGCATTTTTTTCAGAGCGCCAGCGTCTTTTTTTCAATTGTTTTTAAGGAGGAGAGAGCGTTTGCGGCAGGAGGCAACCGCACTGAGAAAAATTGCAGCGTCTTTTTTTCTGAGCGTTCTGCCTTTTTGTGCGGCCACTCAAGTTGAAAATCATTTCAACTTTTCTATTTTCCAAATGAGTCAAATGTACTAGTGTGAAGCAAGAATGAAAGTGTACGCCTACTATAAATGATCATGTTGTGTCCATGCATGTCTCTGCGACGGCAAGAGACCATGGAGTCTGAAAGTCATGCTGTGTCAGTGACACCTACACTCTCAACCCCAACACCATACCACACTCTCAACCCCAACACCATACCACACTCTCATCCCCTAAACCAACACCATACCACACTCTCATCCCCAACACCATACCACACTCTCATCCCCAACACCATACCACACTCTCATCCCCAACACCATACCACACTCTCAACCCCAACCCCAACACCATACCACACTCTCATCCCCAACCCCAACACCATACCACACTCTCATCCCCAACACCATACCACACTCTCATCCCCAACCCCAACACCATACCACACTCTCATCCCCAACCCCAACACCATACCACACTCTCATCCCCAACACCATACCACACTCTCAACCCCAACACCATACCACACTCTCATCCCCAACACCATACCACACTCTCATCCCCAACACCATACCACACTCTCATCCCCAACACCATACCACACTCTCATCCCCAACACCATACCACACTCTCATCCCCAACACCATACCACACTCTCATCCCCAACACCATACCACACTCTCATCCCCAACACCATACCACACTCTCATCCCCAACCCCAACACCATACCACACTCTCAACCCCAACACCATACCACACTCTCATCCCCAACACCATACCACACTCTCATCCCCAACCCCAACACCATACCACACTCTCATCCCCAACACCATACCACACTCTCAACCCCAACACCATACCACACTCTCATCCCCAACACCATACCACACTCTCAACCCCTAAACCAACACCATGCCACAATGATGCTGCTGCTTGTGCAAGAGATTATTAGAGATTACGTTTGGATGTTCTGAGGAAGGTTTAAAACATAACTCAATATTGCAGTGACAAGATGTTCAAATGATCAAATTAACATGTGAATATAAGCTATAAGGTTACAGATCCTGTCCATTTCTGCTGATCGGCATATTTGCGCAAAACCTGTGCTTGTATAGTTGTTCATCATCAATTGAAATCATCAATAATTTCAACATCATCATGTTGAAATTAACATGAAATGCTAGAAGAGCTGCTCTTATTCAGCTTGAGGTCTTCCTCAACCACATGTTTCCAACTGGTGTGAATGCATGTGCTGCATTCATGTGCTCCTCGGATGGTCCCAGTTTTTCAGAGTTGGGAAGTTGTTCTTCCATGTAGGGCTCCATCTGACAAGTCAAATGGCTGCATGCTGAGTGTGAAGATATGGCATGTGTACAAAGGTTTTCCCATTTCACTACAATTCATGCAGTCTTTTTTGTGACTTGCTTGATGTGCATACTCATATAATGATAATGGTGAAATAGCTATTTGTTTTGTAGTCCTAGATAGCATGGGCTGACAGTTTTACTGTTTACAAAAGCTAACTTTTTGCCACACCTATGCTATGTATGTTTGAATTTATTCATTTAATAGGGACAATGCAATTTAACATAATTTCAATACAAAGCATGAAACTGATGTGCTGCATAAAGAGTATATAGCTATTGCTAGTTTCCAACTCGTGTCCCCAGTTGGGCCTTTATGTCAACAAACAGATTAAAATGTACAACATTCAGTTACATAAAACCCCATAACACGATATGAGGATACACTAAAATACATGTACAACAATACAAATGTTATAAACCAGTTTAAAATAAAGTTTGAAGATACTAATTCAAAGTGGGTACAGCTCTGGCTTGCTTTCAGCATTTCACCTGTTTTGTAAAAGATTTTAAGTCCGAGATGAATTTTATTTTAGGTGGTAATGTGATGCCATGAACCTGCAGGTTTCTCTATTGTAGAAACTTGAAGACTACAAGGAGGTTTGTGGATGAAACAAGTCCACACAATCCCTAACTCAATGAGGCTGTGTGCAGATTAAATGATAGCTCTTTCAGTAATATAATAAAACAATATCATCACCATCACATGACTGTCAGCCTTTAAAGATATCACGCAGCATGAAAAGCCTGTTTCTCACTATAAATCATAACTCACATGTGTATGACTTTGGACTGATGTTGAGTTTAGGTATTAGGTCGGTTAACAGAATGAATGAACTTCTTACACTTTCTTTTCTAATGAATGAATGAACTTATAATTGAAGGATCTTAATGAGACTTAACAAAGCATATATTAAATTAGTTCTTAGTTTAAAAAAAGTCAAATATAGATTAATTTACTATGACAGGAATGGTATACACTACAGTTCCCGTCCAGCTGTCACCTGCACACTGACATAACGTTACCATTAGCTCTAGCATAGCAGCTTCCTATGCAATTCATCGTTGCGTATTATATACAGCCAGAACAGGGCAGGACATGGAAAAGGCTGGGCTCTAATAATACCTAACACCAGCTGAACTTGTTATAGTGTGTCGGAGGTGTCAGTCCAGGTCCTTGAATCTCCAGTAAGGTAGCCAACCGCAAGCTAGCAGCTGTTAGCCATCTAGCTAACCTGACGGGCCTGACGTGTTGAACTGAAGCGGCCGAGTCCAAGTTTTCTTGAGGTGATTTGAAAGCAGTTTTTGCTAACATTATCTCAAAGCGCGTTGTATTTACCTGCTGGGATGTTAGCTCTACATGTAAGGCTCGGGAGGAGGACGCTCCAGAGTTGGTGACAGAGGCGCCGGGGATGGAGAGAACCCGTCCGGTGATAGAGTTCATCCTCCTGTCGGCATCTAGCGGGACCCCCTCATTCAGTGAAACATCCCGTCCACGACACTCACAAGCCTCAGGTTAAAGTTTAAAGAGGTCCAAGTAGCCACCAGAGGCGTGCATACACGGCTGTGTGTGTGGGTAAAGCGCTACAGCAGCTGTCAGCTAACCAACGGGACGTAAACAAAGTACAGGCTACTTGCTACTACTGGGTCGGAAATCCGTCTCCGGTTGGGAGGCGCGAGAGTGAGGCTGTGGATTGGCAGATACCAACGTCAATCATATGGGGGCGGGGACTGTACTGAATACTCGTAATCCTATTGGTTGTATGGTCTGTTTATCTTCCCGGATGGGGCGGGTTGCTGTTGAAATCTGTCAAGGCTGCAAATATGAGGAAGTTGAACAGTACAGCGTGACATGCAGGTGACAGCTGAACAGTGCTGCGATCCACGCCATTTTTCAACCTCAGGGGCATCTGTCAACAAAGAGTAACTTATTTTAAATTCCTCAAACAATGAGCTGTTGACAAACTGCTGATTAAATTGAAAGCTTCAGTGACACTAGTGAGTGCAAAACATTTGATCAATAATGTAAGGACAGTTTTTATCTGTTCGCAGTACAGAGCTATACTAAAATACACTTTATTATAAAATAACGAATATCCCTGTATTGCTCCAGAGTGCACGTTTTAATTATATTTAGTCTGCAACAGAGAATTTATTTTTTCCCTCGTTTCGCCAGTCGCAAATCTTAAGTAAACGTTTCAAAATCTATGGCAATTTAAATTCAATGTATTTAAAATGCTTAAAAAGTCGGTGGTTCTATCAGAACAATACATTTACAAAACATACAAATACCGAATGTACGCTGAATGCAACTAACATCTTTTAGAGTCTTTTAAAGATTTGTATATTTTTTGTAATCCATCTATAGGTAGCATTTTAGTGATGTAGTATAGTTGCAATTTAATTAGGCATTAGTCTTGTTTCTTACTGCTGGTAGTTCATTCTGAGGCTAGGCTTATATGGATGATATATTACAAACGAAACAGTTTTTTCTTTTTTTGTGTGTGTGTAAAATTTAAATCAGTTTTTAAACCTCTGACCACAGTTGTCTAAAATGTAGTTGAAGTATAAATGTAGTAGTATAAATGTAGTAGTATAAATGTAGTTGAAGTATAAATGTAGTAGTATAAATGTAGTTGAAGTATAAATGTAGTAGTATAAATGTAGTAGTATAAATGTAGTTGAAGTATAAATGTAGTAGTATAAATGTAGTTGAAGTATAAATGTAGTAGTATAAATGTAGTAGTATAAATGTAGTTGAAGTATAAATGTAGTAGTATAAATGTAGTAGTATAAATGTAGTTGAAGTATAAATGTAGTAGTATAAATGTAGTAGTATAAATGTAGTTGAAGTATAAATGTAGTAGTATAAATGTAGTTGAAGTATAAATGTAGTAGTATAAATGTAGTTGAAGAATAAATGTAGTAGTATAAATGTAGTAGTATAAATGTAGTTGAAGTATAAATGTAGTAGTATAAATGTAGTAGTATAAATGTAGTAGTATAAATGTAGTTGAAGTATAAATGTAGTAGTATAAATGTAGTTGAAGTATAAATGTAGTAGTATAAATGTAGTTGAAGTATAAATGTAGTAGTATAAATGTAGTTGAAGTATAAATGTAGTAGTATAAATGTAGTAGTATTAATGTAGTAGTATAAATGTAGTAGTATAAATGTAGTTGAAGTATAAATGTAGTAGTATAAATGTAGTTGAAGTATAAATGTAGTAGTATAAATGTAGTAGTATTAATGTAGTAGTATAAATGTAGTAGTATAAATGTAGTTGAAGTATAAATGTAGTAGTATAAATGTAGTAGTATAAATGTAGTTGAAGTATAAATGTAGTAGTATAAATGTAGTAGTATAAATGTAGTTGAAGTATAAATGTAGTAGTATAAATGTAGTAGTATAAATGTAGTTGAAGTATAAATGTTGTAGTATAAATGTAGTAGTATAAATGTAGTTGAAGTATAAATGTAGTAGTATAAATGTAGTAGTATAAATGTAGTTGAAGTATAAATGTAGTAGTATAAATGTAGTAGTATAAATGTAGTTGAAGTATAAATGTAGTAGTATAAATGTAGTTGAAGTTGTCCTCTTCTCTACTTCTGAGTTGCAGCAACTGTAGGAGTCATCGTTAAAATTTCCAAGACTGCAATATAAGAAGCAACCACGAGGTGGCATCATCATCCATATAAAAGCAATTCTTTCTCCACAGGGTTATTTACCTTTACAAAAAGGGTTGAATGTGTTGAGCTTGCACTGCACGAATCATCTGTCACTCGAATTGATCTGTTTCCAGCACTTTTACGCTCCCCGTCCTCTAATCATTCACACTAAAATCCATCACAATCACAGAGAACTTCTTACCAAAACAGTTTTAATTTGATTATTAAAAAATATGTTTAGACAATTAACTTACACAAATTTTAGATATTAAATTGGCTCTAGTTTGACCAAGAACAAAATTCTGACATGTTCATTCTTAAAACCGCCTACCTTCTCTGGTCCAAACAAATCCAGAGCATTCAGGACCAGAATCTAAAGTTAGAAGGAGGACATACTGGCTGCTGCATTGTTGTCAGAGAAGCCAGCACTTCAACATAGCATGTTTCCTTAATATCTGATCATATAGTAAGGTCACTTTATCATTTCACTCACTACACATCTTACTGATTGGACATATTGCGTTTAAATAACATTATAGCTAGCCCTTGATTGCTAAATTTAGGCATGTTAGCATACTCTCTGTGTGTCCCTGTTCCTGTTTTAATTGTTGACACTGCTTCCAAGCTTTCCACCATTTTTGCTGCACTGAAACATCACACAAATGTCATGACTCCCAATTTCTTACTTGTAATTATGACTTGTGAGGGCTCATCATGTGCTCATAACTCATAAATACAGTAAATATGATATTTCCAAGGAGCACCTGAAGACAGCAAACTATTACAAATAATTTCAGTAACATTCACGAATATTATCGCTGAACTTTGCCGCAAAATGTTTAACAACATTAGATAGTACCTGGGTTGTGTTCGGTACAAAATTGTTCAGAACCAATGGATGACCATATTCTCTCATCTGACTTTCTTTGAATGCCCTCTGGACGTTTCTGAGAACAAACACTCAAACTCCTTTATTCCTTCAGCTTTCAGGCTGTTGAAAGCTTTAATTGATTTATGGTCGATGCACACTAAGGTAACCTTTAAGGTTATTTATCTATGTATTCATAATACTTTTCTGGTGTCTTAATTCATACTGCATTTTTAAATTCTCACTTGTGTCTACTTATGTCTGTTGTTACTGGCATGTGAATATAATTGTTTAATGCTGCTGTGACTGTTTGTTTCCTCTGATTGTGTCTTGATTTATTTTAATAAGACTCTGTAGGATGTGAAACTGAATTACCTTTCTGGGATAAATTAAGTCGTCTTAATCTAAATCACGTTTTGAGTTTGTATGCAGAGTAAATCTCAAAGCGATATCTCTGATTCAAGACACTGTGCGTATGATACAGTCAGACATTGGAGGACATGATTTCAAAAGTCTGACAGTTACTTTGTATGGGGCATGTGTATCTTGACGATGAAGTACCCAATGTTAAATCATCTAGGAAGTGTTGTCTCTTCAGCATTGGATGTCAGGTGGAGTACATTATAGAAAAAAAAGATGAAGCATGAGAAATGTTACCAAAAAAGGTTGGACAAAAAAGAAGTGACAAAAACACACACATTTCCTTCTGAAAACATAAAAAAAGTTTTAATTTAAATATTGGCAGACAAGTGATGCTATAGTTGTCACATCGACAGGTCTCGCTGTTTATTCCTTGCAAATGTATTATTGCACATGGATTACACTGCTCTTTGTAAGAAGTCACAGAGGTGAAATCAGAGGAAATCGCTCTTCAAATGACAATCTTATGATTTACCACCCATCTACATACTTACTTTGATGATTCCAGGGATATATTCTCCACTCACATACTCTTATTTCACAAAAAGTAATCTTGACACCCTTCAATATAACATTATACCAGTTGCACGACCAGTACAATCCCATCTCTTTCATTTAGCACCCATGGCAATGTTACAAATGGCTCCACTGTGAACTGGAATCATCAAACGTCAAGATTTTCACCTACAAAACTTCATCTTCAACTGCATCTCAACACTTTGCAAAATGCTCGCAGATTCAAGGCATCGTTGTCGTTTTTCTTGCATAGACTAAACACACCCATCCAGACCTGAACACCTGTAGGACACAGAGGGAAATGAAGCCAAGCAGCACTGTGACTGTCTTGGAAAATTGTCTTCTCAAAAGGCATTATTGTTCAGCGTTACAAAAAGTGCATCAGGAATATTCATTTGAGGGACAGGCACAAAAATCTGCCTTTTCCCCTCTACAGAATACAATTAATACTTTTTGGCATTGTACAAATCACAGGCACACAGGTATTGTGCATTCACAATATACATCCACTCTGTAAATTCCCCCACCTTTGGCTTTACACACAGTAGAAATACATGCTATCTGTGGGGATACGATAGGTCTTTGGCTCAATTAATCTTTGGGTTTATGATCCCAATACTTATGTGGTAGCTTGGGTTTGCATTGTTTGTGCATTCAGCATACAATGGGATCCTAAAAAGGAGAATTATATGAGAGAAAGAAAACATTGGCACTTCTTTAAGTCCTTTACGTTACCCTCCAGCTCCATCTAGTGGACCGTAACACCCTCTGCATTTATAACACAGTTCGACCCCTCACAAAAAAGAAGCTAGAAAGGCACATTTCTTTGAGTGGGATTTGGTTTAGCTTTGTCCAAGCCAGACTTGATGAACCCAGTGGCAGCAGCAGGGAGAGGCGACTCGAGTTCAAACCTGCCACTGCCTGAGGAGGAACTATGACTACATGTGTGTGTGATATGATGCAGAGAGCAAAGGTTTCTTTAGCAAATGTGCTCATGTGTAGAGTCTGCAGTCCAGAGATAATCCAAACCAGGCACCAATATTGGACGGGGAGGGGGTGTAAGGTGGGGAAGGGGGAGGCGGATGGGTCTGGAGATGCTGACACAGTTCAGAGCTTCAACAGGAACAACCCTCTGGTCCTCTCACTGGATGCACAGGACGTCGCTCTCCTTCAGGCCGAACCG